ATATAATGCATATACATAAATATTTTCCATATTTATGAATGTGTAAAACTTGGGCACTGTGGTAGTAAGTAATTCCATATTAGTTTGTTTATTAGATGTATCACACAGTGAAGTACTATTATTTACTGGATGACAAAGTTTCGAACACAATTTACCTATTGTTCATAATTACACGACTTCGAAACTTGAGTTTTATAGTTTTCTTTGTCCTCTCCTTTTTACCATCGTTGGGGTAATAGAATTTTCCAGATATCCGACTGGATAGGTGTTGAATCATTCCTATTACACGTATTTGCAGTTGATTCGATAAACAAAGCTCCCGATATCAATCTCTCCGTTTAAAAGCTGTCATCTTATCCCATTCTATTGTATGGTTGTGTGTAATTGCATATGGTAGGTGCAATGGCTGAACTATTTTCCAGATTTCTTATCTTAGTGTCGGGTCAACTAATCTAGATTTTGCTAGGTTTTTATGCAAGGATTGAAGTCGAGTTGCCAATTGACAGAAATCAGAATCCACAGGAGCCATTAGATTCCATCTCGTCGGCTGAATGGCCAATAAGCTTGCCTCAAAACCTGTGTTGAATGACACACAAACTCGAAGACTTGCAGGCGAAAACCAACAAGTTGGCAGAAGAAGCAGGCAGCGAACGCAGGACTGCAGGTGAATGTAGGGGAGACTGATGGAAGGGATGAAGATAACCAACCACGCACCAACAGCAACAACAACCAGCACCAATCACTATCAACGGGAGAGATTTGACAGAGGTTACTTCCTTTACTTATCCAGACAGGAAGCACGGTTTCAATCACATGCAGTCACCACGTTGGACCGATAATTAGACTCTAGAAGAACTGGATTTCACACGAGGATGATTTGTGTCTGTTATCAAATAAATCTGCAGACGTACAGGTGAAATCGAATAAGTTGGCAGGAGAGGAAGTACAGTGGTGACAGGACTCCGAGTGAACATTCAGAAGGCAATGTGTGTGTGGTGCAGATAACCAACTAACAATAATGAGCACCAATCACTATCGGCAAAATAAATTTGAAAGAGGTCACCTCCTTCACTTACCTGACAAGACAGTGTCGTTTTAACTACAAGTAGTTGGCACAAATGAAGATGTTAAAGGCAGAATCAAATACAGAAGACAGACATCTGCTGCTCTGAAATCTGTTCGGAAATCTCCTCTCAGCATTTACCAGTGTTAACTCAGCGTTTCCATACAGGTCAGAAACACGGCGAACGAGTCACGAAAAGTTACTGAAAACTTTTTATCAACACCTTCCTTCTCTGGCTCCATACTGAAGATCAGATAGCTTTATCCAGAAAGAATTAGCAACAAGAAGCTCTTGAAATGAACCAACCAGGAATCTATTGCTTAGAAAATATTCTGAAGAAAATGGAAATGGATTGGACACGCTGAAGACACTTTCGGGTGACATTGTATGCGCGGCGACTGCTCGAGTGGAAGCCGAATGTGAAACAACGAGTTGTGTGTTGGTCCAAGAGTGATATGGAGGAGACAACAGACCATGGGCGACCTCGAGGGCCAATTCGAGGGGAAGGCCGTAGAGATTAGAACAAAGTGTAGATGTACAGCCGTTCCACTCTCGGCTTCTTCTTCTTCTAATAAATCCTCACAAACCAGACACTCAACAAAACCTCCAAGATATCAATATGTGATGCCCTTCTTTCCAATGACTACCACTAGAAATATATAAATGCTTACAATACAAGAAAAGCATTAAGACCTTGGTTAAAATTAAGTGTTACTGAGAGGCCTACAACAGAACTGAATATATATAAATCAGTAAACCTAATGTGAAATTTAAGTAGAAGTAAAAAGAAGAAACACACACACACACTAAAAGACAGGGAATTAATAAATTAAGGCCACCCGCAGTAAAACTGATTAAAAGGAGGATAGTGTAGCTTTCTATTCTACATATATACCTTACTTGGAATAAATGGCTGATAAATGTTCTGCGTCGATAATTAAATTATACGGATGAATAATAACCGGTAAGTTTTTGGAGAAAGCTAGTACACTTAAACAACATAAAACAATTAAATCAAAATGTTTGTATATACAGGTAATAAAGGGTAATTAGTAGTATGATGTTAAGTAGTATTCACTGTATCACTAGGTATGTAAGCTTGATTACATAAGAATAATAATAACAATGGTAAGGATACATCATGCTGTTTGTTATACCCTACTTATAAGTTTAGTGAATACCTCTTCAGAACTTCCTGAGTAGATGAGGAACAAGGCAAGAATAGGAATATATGTTCTTTGACTCCTGTCTGAATTAGTTGTGTTCTCTAAGCTGGTTGGTGAATCAGTTGTAAAGCTTTCGTTGTCCCTCATTCTAGACAACATCTTCAGAGCAGGTTTAAGTTAAAAAATGAACTTAACTAAATTCTACATGAATAATGTTATTGTATCTCATGGCAACCACTGTCGTGTCACAAGAAAATCCATCCTACGTTAAATAAAAAGTATCTTTGAAATAATAGCTAGAATACTGAGACCGTTTGAAATAAAAACTGCACACAAACCAATCAACACAATCACTTCATTTGATATTGTGAAAACCACAAGATCCAATATAAAAAGAAGATAAAGTTAAGACCATTCACAAAATAAACTGTGTGAACTGTAATAAACATTACATCGGTCGGCCAAAGGGGGCGTCCCCTTTGAATCAAAATCCAAGAACACAAATTAGCTGTAAAAAGACATGTTATGTATATTCTATTGCATCAATGCATGTAGATAGTTAACGGCGCCAATATAATTGGAATAAAGTAGTAATTTTAAATAGAGGAAACACCAAAAATGCGGTCAGGGAATTCCTAGGAGCCAGGTTGGTACTGAAGTGAATCGGCCGGCGATTAACAAACACACGTCAATATAGACCAAATTTACCTGCTAATAAAATGTAAATCACATGGCAAGAAAGGAATATGAAAGATTACAGAGACTGAATACATCTGCGTAAGCCATTGACAACGATTTTGAGCCATGTCACCACCTATTGTCTCCAGCCATTGATTCTTATAGTCCCGAGGGCGGGCCCCAATCCGGAAGTCTGCATCTCCCTCCCTACCTGACTCAGTTAAACCGTCAGGGATTTCATGGATTGATTAGGCCATGTTTTTGTTTGGCCACCACTTACTCTTTTCCAACCTGCACCTATATCAGCTAGTAATGCCCGTCGGGGTGGGGGAGGCGATGGTTAGGCATGCGCAGCACGTAACCTAGCCATATCAATCTATGTAACTTCATAGCCTCTTCGATTGATTTTCCCTCTTTGCCCAACACTCTACGCCTAACGTCAACATTACTTACCTTATTATACCACCTAACGCGAGAAAGAGATTGTAGACATCTATGATCAAAAACAGTCAACCTTTCCATGTCTTCAACACAGTCCATTGGTGCTGATACAACTTCCCGAATATGTGAAGTGGTCAACATGTTATATCACTTCACTCCCTCTCACTAAGCTAGGAGTTGAGGAGTTGAATTAGTTGTGTTCTCTGGGCTAGTTGGTGAATCATTTGTAAAGCTTTCGTCGTCTGTCATTCCAGATAGCATCTTTAGAGCTGCTTTAAGTAAAAAAATTAACCCATTTGAATTCTCCATGGATGATGTAATTATATCTCCTGGCAACCACTGGTGTGTTACAAGAAAATCCATCGCACCGTGGATAAAAAATACCTCCGAAATAACAACTTGAATATTAGGACCGTTTGAAAGAGATACAGCACACAAACCACCCAACACATTCACTTCATTTGATATTGTGCAAACCAAAAGATCCAAAAGAAAAAGAAGATAAAATTAACACTATTTGCAAAATAAACTGTATGAACTGCAATAAACATTGCATCGGCCAGCCAAAGTGGGCGTCCCCTTCAAATCTGTATCGAAGGACACAAATTAACTGTAAAATGACATGTTATCGTATCAATGCATGTCGATAATTATTGACGCTAGTTTGATTGGAATAAAGTAGTAATTTTAAATAGAGGAAACACCAAAAATGCGGTCAGGGAATTCCTAGGAGCCAGGTTGGTACTGAAGTGAATCGGCCGGCGATTAACAAACACACGTCAATATAGACCAAATTTACCTGCTAATAAAATGTAAATGACAAGACAAGAATGTTACAGCTCCAAGGCAATAAAAGTATGATCAATGGAGACGTAAATTAACAACCACTCATGACAGTGGTCCCCAGAAGATACGATTTCAACATTCATGGAGAATTTAAATAAGTCCATCTTATACTTAAATCTGCACTGAAGATGCTCTCTGCTCTGTCAGCCAGTCTGTTTGTTTTTTCCCGGCAAGTCTTCGAGTTTAAGTGACATTAGACATAGATCATTCACATGTTAATTTCAGATCTTCTAGAGTCTTCTTATCCGTTGGTCCAGTGTATTCCTGTCTCCTTGCTCCCACAAATAGTCCGACGCATAACCCAGTCCACCACAATTAAGAATATCATCAGTTATAATAAGCAGACAGCTTCTCATACTCCTTCTTGTATTCACTTCAAAGGCCTTGCTGAGTTTTCCGTTGTGGATCACCTGACACGTGGCACTGTCATACAGCCAGCTGTTGAATGAGGTTGATAAGGGTTTGGGCACTACACGCCGTAGTGTTGAGGCAGTGTTCAAATCACTTCACGGTTAACGCTGTCTGTCGAAGGTCTTCTCGAAGTTGATGAAGCTAAGGTAGAGAGAGGTTTGACTGTCATTCTATGCTTTGTTCGATGATGACGATGCATAGAGTTGCAAATATTGAACTAAGAGGTAGGCTATTAGGTTGGCAGGGAAAATAAACCGATGAGTTTTTGAAGCTGCATAGACTAGCACGTCTAGAACACTTGTTACAAATGCGCAAACGCAATCTTCCCTGTACATCAGTGTAAGTTGACATAAGCTTAGGTTGGAGAAGATTTTAAAAGTGGTGAAACTAAGTCCACGAAGTCCCTTATGACTGACTTCATCAAGCCACACAGGAGGGTGTACACTGCCTGGTTGCTGTCCTCAGGATGCAAAGAACCAATGCCTAGGGACGTTTAGGCGATATTTAATTTTTTTATGGCGTAAATGAATTCGCCGTCTGTAATCTCTCAAATCCATGAAACCCTCTTGTCTTCCTGTGGTACTATTCTTTCCTCCATCTGCATTTCTTCTCATTACTGCTCTTTCGAATCGCTGTTTGGTCCACCTTTGTGTGTTACATGAAGTGTGGCGACTTGAACTATTGGGCTTCTCCGCAAATTTCTATGTTGGAGCTCAGTAAGTAAGTAAAAGCTTGAGTTGTTTACGGAGAGAAACAGTTATCCAGTTTAACAAGTTATTACCGATTTGTACACATTTATGTATACACATATAAATAATTTTTTTCAACTTTATTTCTATTTCTAGGAATTAGAAAGTAAACTGAAAGATCATAAAGGTCGGATAACGAAAGATGATTTTGTAAATTTTTTTAAGAAAGTTGCAACAAGACAAGAAATTTATTACATTCTTGTTAGGTAAGTATAAATATCTCTTCTGAACAGTGTTCAGTGTAAACATATATATATATATCTTTTCTTTTTAACTTTTACTTTATTGTTTGAGTGGTTCTTAATTGTATGAGGTATTGTTGAGTAAGAATGTTCAATGTTAAAGTTGGCAGTTGTAATGGTGTCTTAGAAGATAAACTAGAACTCTACTAAACTCTTTATGATAATGGTGGTATTATTATTATTAGAGTGTAGGGTTTCAACAGCACCTCTCCAATTTGTTCTGCTTTTTTCTGTCCTCTTCACCTGGTCCACGATTGCTCATAGTCTGTCATCTCTTGCTCACACGATCTCCTTTTTACTTAAGTCAAATTTCAAATTTTAAACGACCGCTAAATTAACTCAGTACTAATTATGAATGGTGAACATACATTTTGCATGATGGGTCAAAACGCCTGTATAGAACACGATTTTTAAGTAAATTCTTCTTCTTTTGAGGCCTTACAATCAAATGAGGATTGATCATGAACTGACAGCAGCCAGAGGACCATTGAGAAACCAAAAGGGAGTACTGGACTGCCAGGTGTTTTGTTCCACGAGTTTGAGATTCTTCAATGGTACGTTCCGACTGCCAAGTTTCAACTTCAGGGTCTTCTGATTACGAAAGCATTCATGTGTAGAAACTGAAATAAGCTTTTCTCAGTGACTCTACAGCCATAGTTCACCAATCTATGTTTACCAGTATCCGTGACACATAAGTAAGCGTTTCTAGATATGCAGACTCTTTTCGGGAAGGAAGAAACAAGTGTCATACTACCCGCAAACACCATTCAGAGTATGCATCATAAAGTTTGATGAGAGAATTGAAGAAATTACAATGCAATAGATTTGATATAAGCAACACCTTAATCTATTCTAATTTCAACTGAATCAGTTCAGTTTCAACTAGATTCAAATACTTGCGTAGTGAATGCAAGTCACATATCAATATCAAAAGCGTAAGATTTGAAAAAGTTGTATGGAGTTCATTTTCAAATGAACATTGAAATCTCTTAGAAACTCAATGTATATAGTGGTCACATTTATCTGTAAGTCGATCGTATTGGTAGAAACTCACAGCTGCACATCACGTCTACAAATATGACAGGAAACTTCATTCAGTTCACCACGCATCAGTTTACTGTGCAGCCACCAGTGAATGGAATTCGCTTGTTTTATTAAACTCATATTGAAAGATTCCCCCACCGTGTTTCTGTTCAGTAGAAAATTGAGAAGCAGGAAATTCAAGTTATACGCATTAATATTGAGTAAGCTCGAGTAGAATATTCACGCATTAATATGATTATCTAAGCTGATGTGAACAACACATTTAGTTTAAAAATATTTTGATGGGAAAGTTTTCATTCTGAAACTCTCAGCTAGCTGATGTGTCTTTGACACTAGTCTTACTTGTGAAGTAGGATAAGTATGAGTATAGCAATACAGTGTTTCTGAAAATGAAATAAGGCCTTGTGGTTGCGGAATCAAAATATCTTGGTACACGACCATTTGTGTTGCTGAGTGTTTTGTAGCTGATTTCATTGGTTAAATACCATGAAATGCATAGTGACGATAATCCAAATAGGCAGGCATGTCCATACATGTGAGCTGGAGTATCATGTTGCATGCGAGATACGCATTCAGCTAATGGAACCCAATGCAACGACCTATGAATTTCAAATTCTTCCAGGTTTTTCAGTGGTTCTCTAATTGGTATCAGCTTGTCACCAACCATGTAACCAACCAGAACCCTGTAAACCAACACCTGATAAATCACAGAATATTAGACATAGGTATTTGAAGCAGTGTGAACTAATAGAATCTAATCTAGGTACTCATGACTGTATAAGTAGAAGAATGTGTATCCCAGTTGGGAAAGAGGTGGAAATAGGTATTGCCGCATAACGATTAGATAACAATAATAATGATAACAAACTTTCAATCTATGAATAATATATACACCTACAGAACAGTAGGATATTGATAATAAAGTTACCAGTACAAATAAAAATAATATTAACAGTTATCCAGTGTCTCCAGGAGAGATAACCATTCTAGGTTGGTGTTGAAGGCCATCGGAGGGAGGGGGTTGAAGGATCAGACAAACTTTTTTTCTGAACACTCAGACACTGGGTTTAAAGCTTTTTTGTGGAAGCTGCCACAGTTTCGCCTAACAATCGAATGCGTACAAACTTAGCCAAAATGAGGTGGCGCCTTGTGTACATTTGTGAAGACTATGTTTTTCAGAATCTAACAATTTCTTTTCTTATTATCTCGAAGTATAAAATGTATTACAACTATCTGCAGCAGAACATATACATTTATATGTATACATCAGTGCCATTGTGCCTGTGTTATAAGGACGAATAATACTACAAACTTTTAGCTTTTTGAGGTATCAGGCGTTTATAAACACTGACTGCAAGAAAATTTGCTTTATCATATTATAGGGTTGTTAAGAATTATTGAATTTTCAAGTAATATAGATAAGCAGCATCTTAAAGGTGGATGGTGTTTAGCAGTGGGATTCAAGATGCGCATTTCATCCTATTTGGGATTCATCACCTGAATGTATCCCCATTCTCCAGTAAGTGAGTGATGGTGTTTCCACTGAGATTCGAAACCAATACCAATAGTTTTAAACGCCAAAGCATTATCCATTAGATCACTTGAGCCACAACAGCTGAAAAGCCCGAAATAGGACGAAATGCGCAACCAGAATTTCATTGCTATCACCATCCACAAATTTACTTCAAATTAAATAATCAGGCATTAGTCAACGCATCTGCTGACATGCAGCTGACATGTCCACCTGAGGCTGAGCATTTCAGTTCCATATTTATTTCTTCACATCTGATTTTATTCTCTTTTTCCTTTTATTTCACTGTGACGCGAAAAAACTTCATTTGAGACAATGATGAGCATGACTTTTTCCAAAACTTTCTTCACTGATAGTTTTTTTGAAACATTTTTCCTTATTCTTTCACATTCCCAGTAGAACATAAAGATTCAAGCTAGAGCTTTTTGAAGTTTCAGTAGCTGCGGTGTTTATTTTTATGCGGTGGGATTGCTAGACTCGTGCACGACCTTACCTTTTTATCAGTCTTATTACCGGCTTAGCCAGGTTAAATGCTGCGTCGGCCCAGGATCGATCCCTGAACCACATGCGTGCTTGATAAACTTCCCACCACTAACTCACTCAGACACTCACAAATAACCGTTTATCTTTAAGACTCAGGTTACTTCAAAATATCCACCATAAGGAGATTATCTAGACCTATTTCAGCGCTAGTTCTTCTAGACAAAACAGAACATTGCTACAGTTATATGAATAAGTTATTTTCAGCTGCCGGAATTTTGAGATGTTATCATTTCTGCAAGGGTGAAACTCTTTCACAAGACAAAAGGACTGAACGAAAAAAATATTTGATTTTCGATTAAATCCTCATTTAGGCTTTCACTGTAAATTATGTACATCTACGTATAGGTACATATATATATATGTTCCCCATAAGATGACATCGATTAGAGAACCATTGAAAAACTGCTAGAGAGTACAGTACAGATATTTCATCCCACTAGTTTAAGATTCTTCGTCAGTACGCACCCACCGGAATTCGAACCATTGACCTTTCAATTAAAAGGCGAGTTCGCAGACCATTAAGCCATTGGGACCCGATGCAGTCAGTATGTCCTGTTTACGAACCCCGGCAATTGAAATCGATGAATAGTCCCAGAATATTGGGATGAAACAGCTGTTCAGTACTCCATGGTGGTTTCTCAATGGTTCTCCAATTGATCTCAGCTCATGATGAAATCCTGTACCCAACAAATACCTGCAAACCAACACTAGTGACTGACCTTATTCAGGTAGGTTGTTACCTAGATTCTCGTGAGAAGTTGTGACCAGGGGGGTGCAGCGGCTCGGGTGTCAGGATAGACACTAGACACCAATGACATTGTCTAGTGGTCACGCCACATTGTGAAGTGACAGAAGTTTGAATTCATGCACTGGCCATTGGATCGGGTTTTAGTGGTTGTGAATGCTCTACGACCTCGCCTCCTAAATGAACGATCCTGAATTCAAACTCTGATGATAGATGCGTACTGATGAAGAGTCCTAAATTAGTATAATGGAACAGCTGTCCAATACTCCTTGACTACTTTCAGTGGTTTTCTAACTGATCTCAGCTCATGATGAAATCCTGTAATGTTTAAATTGGTTGGGTAATAAATAATTTAAAAGAAAGTACTTAAAATAATTAAACAGAAAAGGAAATAATAACTCGTTAAAGCCTTAAGGATTTACTCTTAAGAAAATTCAGTTGCAGACAGATAGAAAATGGTCTTATAAAACGATGAGTCCCACTGACGAATCGGCAGAAACTCTGAAAACTGCTTTCTGAAAGAAATGATTGAAAAACCTGAATAATTTAATGAAGAGATAAATGAAGTCGTAGTATGAAATTAGTTCGCGACAAAATATCTTCGACACATAATCCCCGAAGCATCCACTTTTGAACTCTAACGAATGTGTTATGTAAGACTATGTCACTAATAATTATTATATAATAATAATAATTCCTTTACGTTCCCACTGGAACATAGGGCTTCAAACTACAGGCTTGAAGTTTCGGTAGCAATGGCGTTGGTTTTTATGTGATGAAGTTGCTAACCTCATGCCCAATCTTCCCTCTTTACCAGTCGAATTACTAGCTTAACGAGGCAAAGGAGTGCGTCATTGGCCGGGGGTCGAGCCCCAAACCGTATGCATGGTCGGCTAGCATTCTATCGCTGTGCCAACGACGCACGTCACTAATCATATTTCGTGTAATTTATTTAATTGTGTAAGGGAAATATTTGCATGAAATCCAACTGTCTCGAAGAAACATTAACGACTAAAACTGTCTCCACTGTTCGAAGTATTTTTAGAAAGGAATTCACCGAAAATATGTTTAAAACAGGTGTAATATTGAAAAATATTTGGAAATTCTTTTAACACAAAATATAGAACATGTTATATTTACACTTTAATGGAGACATTGTAAAGCTTTTATTTTACCTGCTGCGTTTATAGAAAGAGTCCATTTTTTTATAGGCTAAAACATGTGTATCTAAATTTATTGTTTGAAAATGATTTCGGAGTACAAATTAACTCCTGAAAGTTTATCGGATGCTCTGCAGTGACTGACTACAGAATGCAGTTGCCTGGAGTTCAGGCGTGAGGACAAATACTAGCCGAGGATGATATTGGCTGGTGGTTGGGATAAAAAAGATCACAAATTGGTAGAAGTTAGAATTAATGTGCTGACCATTGAGTCAGATCTTATTAGCTGAATTGTCTACAAGGTAACTTGACCTGCAATGGGAAGATCCTGGGTTCGAACCCTGGTGGTGTGGGTATTTCGATGAGTCGAAAACTGGAATAAAACAGCTTATTCTTGAAATTTTATTCAACAGTTAGAAAGTGGTAGATGTAACAGCATCGTGATTTCTTTAGTCTTCCACTTAATCAAGGGAAATTACCACCTGACACCTAATTTTTGAAGTTACTTTAATAATATTAGCTGAAAAATTTGGTCAACACGTTACACTCTGTGAAAGCATTCCGTCATAAAAGATTAAGAATTAATGAGAGCAGCGTAAAAACTAAATCTAAGTCATAATTTCAGTTTAGCAAAAATATTCATTCAGACATCTATGAAAAAACGAAATAATTGAGCAAAGAATATCCTTTTCGATAAATTCTCCTCTTCTGGATCTACAATTATATATGCATGTTTATATACACAGAATATTCTAGATTGGTAGTCAATATCAATATTAGTGTTTTTTAAATAATATCGATTTGTAAAGTAAGATCAATGGAATTACCACAGTTCAGTAAAGATGCTTAAATTAAATAATAATAATAAAGATATAATAGCGAATAGAATATCAACTAAATCTAGGAAAATTCCACAAAAATTCAGGATCATTCAAACCTAGATGGCCAAGGTTAGGATAATGTCTGAACTAACTATTTTTGGTCGCACAAATTAGGCTTGTTAATATGGATCCCCACAGCCTCAGCAATATTCAATAGTCGAACTCTTGAGGCGAAATTGATAAGAAATTAGATGATTGTGACAAATCAACACTTTTGTTACTATCCTCTTTCATGAGTATTAAAGTTGTATGTGAATGTTCTTGTATAGCAGAAGAAGAAAAATGAATTCGTCGACAACAACCCCTTCATTGAACTAAGTGTTTTGTTTTCATAAATTATCTTGACAGTGAAATGCCAGAAACACTGTTACTTCCTTGCTTACTAATAGCTGTCAGTAGAAGAAGAAGAAGAAGGAGACAGAGAAACCTGATCCACTCCTTATCCTCAAGAACAAGAAGGATATGTTCCAGTGATACAATCGATGGGGAATCGGGGCGACTAAGACAAGTCCTCATAGAGAATGGATATCCTCCAAGATTTATCGAGAAAAACATGAAGTTAAGGGAAAAGCCTGGAAGAATCCAGACGGTGCCGAAGAAGCTGCTATTTATGAGCATCGAATTTAAAATTGATGCCACAGCTGATATCCTGAAGAATCGCTTATGCAGATCACTGAGGAAAGCCTTCTTTTTGTGGCTGAGCTACGAATCAATTTCTACACCCGACAAATGATCAATGGATGTGTGAAGGATAAACTGCTGCTTTGGGCCACTTCAGTGTCTGTTTAGAAATTCACCCGCTCGTGTGGGGCTAGCTATATTGGCCGCACACCTCTGAACATTATCCGGCATGGTTAGCAAAAGGACAATGCAAGACAATTACTAGCTCAGTTCTCGAGCGCTTGGTGAACTCAAGCCACGTAGCTCCACCACAGTCGTCTTTCAAGATCATCTACAAGATGAGGCCAAGTGGTACTAAGGGCGTCAGGTTTCGGCTTTCGTGTATGAAGGAGGCGCTGGAAATTCCTCAATACGGCCCCGAACTCTCTAAATAGAAAACGTTTGTCCAGTCTCTTATCCTACCTTGGTCTTAAGCTCCTCACTGGTCGTTCCCTGTAAAAAAATTTTGATTTTTCTTTTCTTTTTATAATTTCTAATTTAACTTTTATTTTGCTTTTGCTTTAATAATTAATTCACTATTATCACTTTCATATGCTCCTTTTGTATATTTTCACACCCTCTTCATGCTTGTTAAATTGACACTCAAATACCCTTATTCTTAGTCAGTAGCAATTTTAACCTTATCAAATTTCTATCTTTGTGCCATTGAGTACCACGTAATTTACAACTTTTATTTTTTACTTCTAAAGCCACTTCTGAGTAATTATATCAATTATATCACCTTACCCCTATTACTCAATAATAGACCACAATACATTTTTGGTAAGTATAAATACGACTGTACAGCCTCTGAAGATGATTTCGTCGATAAAGAAAATTTTTTCCGCTGAATTTGTCTTTTATATTTTTTTATCTTCAAGATAATCATGTCAATGTTTGAACTGGATTCTACAAAACTCCACAATCAAGTCACAGGTGCTGCAAACAACAAACTGACAGAAACTGATTAACTGGTGTCGCTTCTCCCCTCTAAAATAGTTAATTTCTACTTGTCGCTGCAATTAAATAAACAAACACTTTCTTTACCTTTAGTGCATTTTCTCTTATTATTCGTATGTATTTTGTTGTCTAATTTTTCAGATATTCCAGTGGAGCGGAACATTTAAGCGCTGAAGATTTAAAGAATTTTTTCGAAAGTGAACAAGGGGTAAGTTTTGTAAACCTGATTACTTTTCTCGTATTTCCCAATGAATGAACGAAAAACAAAACGATATTGTTGTGTTCACTGACTTTTCGCTATTTAATTCTGCTGCTAATAGCTTTATCAAAGCATTTTTAAACCAGAATTTACTAAATCTCAGCACATATATAACAACTTAATCGTCGTTCTTCTGTTTGTGGTCATTTCTCCGTTGTCAAATTGCCCAATCGGTAAAGATAAAAAACCACGTGTAGATTGTTGGATTTAAAAAGTGTGCAAATTTATAAAAGCAGCGTGTGTTTACATAGTGAAATTGCTTATCACATTTGTTTTGATTTTGTCACTTCACGGGAGGAGGGGAATGGCTGTAACCAGGTCAAATTCTGTTTTAATGCAACATTCCTATTCAGTCCAGACAATTTGGATTCCACTTGATATGAAGTGCTTCTGATGGTATTAGACGTTCTTTGTGATTTCTGAAATGCTTTTTCTGGATGATGATTTCAATATTGTCAAAATCAATTTTGTGGCCTGATTCTATAGCGTATAGACCTACGGCTGATGATGTTTCAAGCTTTTCGCGTTCAACTGGATTTCTTGGTGGTGGAACAGATTCTCCACGGTGTTCATTTCTTCTGACCTTGATTTCTCTCTGGCGATGTTTGTTCGATGTATATCGCATCACATTCAAAGCAAGCATCTAATTTTGTAGACACAATTAGATTGAGAATCCTTAGGGATTTGATCTTTTATATGGACAAAGTTCCTTTGCAGTGTGTCTGATGGTTTCAACAAAATTCTGATGTCGTACTTATTGAGTACTCTTCTGATATCGTCTGACGTCTCCGCTCTATATGGAATGACAACTGTTGAGCTTCATGTCTTCAGAGTACGTTTTCGACCATATCTAATGTCGGTATTCATTTTGTTGATGAAGTTCTTTGGGTAGATATTTTTCTTGAGAGTCTCGGTAATGTTAGATATTTCTTCTTTTTCCTTTTCATCCATTATCAAAGAGTGTGCTAGTCCAAGAAGACTTGAAACAACTGAAATCTTTGCAGTGATGGGGTGTGATGATTTGAAGTCTAAATATTTATTGGAGTGGGTTTTCTTCCTGAATATGGATATACTAAAATGTCCATCTTCCCTCCTCTCAACTAGGCAGTCTAGAAATGGTAGTTCATCGACATTGGATTCTGTTTCCGAAGTGAACTGGATTCTGAGAGACAGACTGTTTATTTTCTCCAAAAACGATCTGTGTAGATCTCGTTTTAGCACCAAAAAAGTATCATCTACATATCTTAACCATATTTTAGGCGTGTGTATGCTTGAAAAGATGTTATCTTCGAATGAATTCATGAAAAGGTCAGCGACTTTTGGGGGAACTGGTGAACACATAGCAACACTATTTGTCTGTCTATATCAACTCCCTTTAAACGTTAAATAATTACTTTCTAGACAGAATTTCAAGCTCTTAATTATTTCACTGGTGTCCAGTGGACATCTTTATGATAGCGTTGTATCTGATTCTAGTAGACTGGAAATGATATCAAAACTTTCGGTAATAGGGATACTAGTATATAATGAGTTAATATCGTAGCTTACCATAATGTCTTCTTTATCAATTTCTAGGTGTTCTATTTGGGATTTGAAATCATATGAATTCCTGACAATATTTTGAGTGTCCTTTTGTAGTGGTCGTAGTACCGAGAATAAGTATTTAGAGAGCTTGTATGTCGGTGAGTTAGTGAAATCTATTACTGGTCTTAATGGAACTGTGGGTTTATGCGCCTTTGGTTGACCAGGAAGAATTTTTAATTGTGGGTTTCATTTCTTGGTGGAGTCTGTTTGTATTTGTTTTCATTTTGTTGAATTCAGCAGATTTCTTCTTCTTTTCTTCAATGAGTAAGCATGGTCCTTCATATAGAGGTGTTCAATCACCTTCTCTTCATAATCCGTTCTGTTCATTATCATCACAGTGACGTTTCCCTTGTCGGCTTTCGTTATAACGATGCTTTTATCTTTCTTCAAATTTCTTAAGGCTTCATATTCTTGTTTGTTGAGATTAGATGGTAAGTTAAAGTTGTGTCATTAATATGTGTGTGATATCTTTTGTCGAACAGATTGTGATTCTTCATTGGTGAATTGTTGTAGAGCAGGTTCGATCATAGGTGCTTTTTCTTGGACCGATAATGGCTTTCTGGTGATATTGAAATTCAGACCTTACTGTAGTAATATATACTTATATTTATATGTTTATTTGTTTATTTTTTGTAACTGCTTTATTCTACTGTAATTTTTCAGAGAACTGGTCTAACTCTCGAACAGTGTACAGCAATCATCAATCGTTTTGAACCATCCCAAGAAAATCGTCAATACAATCTGATGGGTATAGATGGTAAGTGTTGTCAAAAGTCAGCTTGCGTGTGTTACAGCGCATAAGAAAAGAAAAGAAAGGAAAAGGAAAATAAATAAATTTTCAAAAGTTTTTGTTTTGTAGTTTGATTTGTTTTTCTTTCTCTGCGAACTCCCGCCTCTCCCCTCCCCTTCCGGGTGACTTTTTCATCTCTCCATATATACATATATATATGAATGTTTACAAATTGAGATGAAGCGAAACTCGATTTCATCCTTAAAGAAAATCACAAATAACACTACACTGTGTTATTTTAGCAAAATTGTAAACAGAAAAAGAAAATATGAAAAAAACTATTTTGATGACAAAAAGCAGGAAGAGAAACCAGTTTTTGTTAAGCAAAGAGATATTTCTTTTGCTAACGATTGCAATTATACAGTTGTTTTTGCATTACGCTTAAGTTCACCCCGTTTATGTGCATCACCTCTTTTGTGCGCTCCTGTGAAGCTGATTGAATTGGACGTTGTAGGCGTGTTCTACGGAAATTCAAAGCCGGATAGACTATCGATTCTGATTGATGTGAAAAGATGAGCATAGAATGATGAAGTCTTTCATTTGTGAACATCTTCTTGAGTCAAATCATTCAGCCTAATGCGTAATTTATCCTTTAAAGTTATTCATGGAGGTGAGTTCAGTTACACTTATCTATCACTAAGGCGGTGTCTACGCACAAGTTGAAAATAGATGAAGCCGCAGAAGACAGGACTTCTGGTGACTGTATAGGGAAGACGGAGGTGATGGAGGTAATCAACCAGTCATCATTAACGGGGTAAATTTGAAACAGGCCACTTCCATCACTTATCTGACCAGGCAGCATCCTTTCAATCACAGACACACGAAACGAATAAGGATGTCAAACTAGAATTGGAAAGGCAAGACATACCTTCTTCATACTGGAATGACTTTGCGAATCTCCTCCATTCCGCTGGAGTATTAACACTGAAAATTCGGATTTCCGAAACCAATGTTAAATTAGTCAGGTTTTTTATATCCGTTAGAAAGTTGGCGAAAGCGTCAGTGTACACTTTCATCAGAATCTGTCTTTTCCAGCCAGAAAGAGTTAGCAGCAAGAGACTCTGGGAAATAGCCAATCAATAACCTATTGCCCAAAAAACATACCCAAGGAAATGGAGATGGATTGGACACATGCTGAGGGGACCGTTGAGTGAAGTCGGGTGCCAGACCATTACTCAAGTGGAATCTGAATGAGGGATGACATGTTAATTGCATTTTTTAGAGTAACATGGAGGAAACTATGTGACTAGGAGACGAAAGACTATGGGAGACGGTGGGGCCAAAAGAAGAGGACTGGAGAGAATAGGACAAAGTAGGGATATGCTGTTGAAGCCCAACAGAATACTTACACAATTTTTTAGTTCCGGTTAATGTTTATTTTCTGCATTAATAATTTCGACTAAACAGTTTGAAAAATAAGCCGTTGAAAAGAAATATTCCTTCTCTGGACAAAATCTGCGTTGTTTACTTATGAATAAATGAGTATATTTCGGCAGATATATATTATATACACATATATATTGTTTATTCAACTTAATAACTCATTTACGTACGGTTATTTTCGTCTTTGGGTTTACTATGGATTACTACAAACTTAATTTTGGATAAAGAAAGAACAACAGTGGTTGTTGCAGAATAATACAGTACCATACTTTATTTAGTTGGCTTCTCGTCGGCTGCTAACAGCCTAAATAAATTATTCTTATTAGGTGCACGTACAGAAAAGTTTCAACATACTTGCAAATCGTACATGATGTCAGTTGACAAGAGATTCTGGGATCAGTGCACAGTACTCAGGGAATTACGCTTATATAGTTTTTACAACAGGAAGTACAAGTTTAAACAAAGTAAATGTATGCATACAACTGCAAAGGAGTTATGTCACTAACCAGAGCCTATCCTGAAGCTAAGTTGGTTCCCGTGCATCGGACAACATGCTCTTTGGTGCAGTCAAAAGTCAACAGATACCCTTCGCATGTTAACTCCAGCTGTGTATACAAATTTACGTGTACCTGTGGGAGCAGTTACATTTGGGAGAATAGAAAGATGGGCACACCTCCGGTTTTCTGAACATGCGCTGAAAAGCCCACTCCTCAAAGGAACAAACGCCTATAATATTGGTATTAACAGACATCTCTTTGATACGGGTCACATGAGGTGGAAATCGCGAAATCCTGTGATATTATCAATAGACAAAATGTCTCAATAGTCCACAAGTTTGCCTGAGCAATTTCTATCAAACGCTTGAAACTCGATTTAAGTGATCAGAAGGAAGCAATTGTCAGTCTTTCCTTACCCATGTGGTAACTGGATGTCTTTTCTCTCTATTTTATTTGATCACGCAATCTTTAGCTTTAACTTTGGCCTTTTGATATAGTATAATTTTGCTTGTCTCTTGTTCCTGTGATTTGAGATGAACTCATTAAATTGTTACTTAATTTATTAGTCACTCAGCATCTTACGAATCTCCCGTCTTTATTGCGTAACTCTTTTACCATTGTCTGCATACATTTACTTTGTTTAAACTTGAACTGCCTGTGTAAAAATTATATATATATGCGTAATTTTCTGAGCACTGTTCACCAATTCCGGAACCTCGTGTCAACGGACATCATGTACAATTTGCAAATATGTTAAAGCGTTTCTGTACATGGACCTATTAATAATTTATTTAGACTGTTAGCAGCTGACGAGAAGCCAAGGAAATAAATGATGGTACTGTATTATTCTGCACAAACCACTGTTCTTTTTGCTTTAGTCAAACTTATCAAGGCAAATAAATGTATGAATCTTCTACAATCGTTATCTTTAGAGTGTTCTAGTCAAATTACTATAAGAAAACCAACAACACTTTGAGATACAACATATCGGATCTTAGTGGTTCATTGGTAGCACGCTCCCCGACTGCATCACACGTGATCCGAGATCCAATCCCTGGCTTAATCGCCCGATTAAACCTCGTCAAGCCGATAGTAAGCCCGGTATGGAGAGGGGGTTTAGGAGTCAGGCTAGCAACCTCAACCCGTAAAATAAACTCTTTGCTACCGAAACGTTCAGCCACCTCAAGCTTGAAACCTTGCGTTCCACTCAGAAGGTGAGAGAACAAAATAGTAGTATCCGATCACTGCTGTCACTAAAATGGGTAAACCACTTCATAGTGATTTTGTCTTACAATGATTCTACTAATCAAATTATACTACGTTACCTACTTCTGCCTAGATTCACAGCTTATTCCACAGATGAAAGCTATGTGTATATTGTAGAAGTTCTTCGCTGTTGTTTCATTTATTCTACTATGTCTATCTGCTTGATTTTCGGTTCATATATCAATCATGTATATCTTCGAACAATACGTGAAGTAAGCATAAAATATCATTAGGAGACGTATTTTTGAAGACGCGACTTCAGGCCAACACTAGAGAAGATAAAAGTGACGAAAATACCAACCGACCGGCAACAGTAAAAACAAAAACATGCAGCAATCACGATCATAGAGAGACATTTGAAGGCGGTAATCTCTACTACTCATCGAGAGAGCATCGTTTCAACCACAAGTGACACTGATAGGGATTTCAAAGCCAATCACGATCACAGAGTAAAACAGCTTTCCATCACAGTGAAATCAGTGTGGAGATCTGCGGCACTCAGCATAAGAAGCAAGATCTGAATTTTCAATATTAATTTCAAGTTGGTCAGTTTTTCTAAATGGTTCACAGACTTGGTATGCGCGATGCGGAAAACATTTTTGAATAAGCTGAAGAATTTTATCAACAGATATGTTTGCTGTGTACTGAGGGTTGGATAACCAGAAAAGAATAACAATAAGGATTTCTAGCAACGAACCAACCAACCACCTATCGCCTAACAAATATCCGGAAGGGAGTTGGGATGGAACAGATAAACACTGAAGGACTACCTGAATTAAGCACAGGCAAGGCTGTTAACTTGGAGGATCTGGACTTCGCCGATGATATATGTCTGATTTCCCACAAACTGGGAGATATGCAAGTGAAAAGCAACAAGTTAACAGAAGAAGAATCCATAGAAGATAGGACTTCAGGTGAACATAGAGAAAACAGAGGTGATGAAGATTCATGGACAAGAACAACAACAACAGACAACAATCAGCATAAATGGGAGGAACCTGAAAGAAACAACCTCCTTCACCTATCTACCTGAGATGCATCGTTTCAACTACAGGCGGACGGAACTGACGAGGATATCAAAGTAAGAATCGGAAAAGCAAGACAAGCTTTCACTACTCTCAAGTCTGTGTGGAGGTCAACAACAACAACACTCAGCATCAAAACTAAGATCCAGATTTTCAACTCCAATGTGAAATCGGTGCTACTATACGGATCCGAGACTTGCACTGCGCGTCATGAAGAGCATCTCAAACAAACTACAGACCTTCATTAACAGTTGTCTTCGCTCAATACTCAAGATCAGATGGTCACTCAGAAAAGATCAGCAATAGAGATCTCTGAGAGCAAACCAACCAGGAACCGATTATGCAACAAATAGGCAGGAAGAAATGGAGATGGATTGGCTGGCCATACTCTGAGGAAACCATCAAGTAACATCACTAGACAAGCCCTTGAGTGGAACCCGAAAGGGAAGTGGCTAGTTGGTTGTCAGTGCCAGGGTGACTTGGAGGAGGTCATGTGAAGAGGAGATGAAAACTTAATGGCAGACTTGGAGCCAAGTGAAAACGTTGGCAGAGAACCGAACACAATGGTGACGCACGGCTGAAGCCCTATGTTCCTCTAGGAATTAAAGGAAACAATAATAATAAGGCTGTTAAGTGGAACATGAATGCCGAACAACAAGCCAGGCCTTCAAGTGTAATGTGGAAGAGATTATGCGAGGAACAGTTGGCAGCTTACAGGCAATCTTCGAGCCAGTTAGAGAAGACTGAAGAAAACAAGATAAAATGGATGTGCACCTTTGAATCTACATGTTACACTCGGAATCCAGAGGAATATTAAGAATGATAATAATAGTGGTAATAATGTGCTTTATTCTGTAAAAATAAATGACTTGCAGCAATTCGCATAGAAGTACTTTTCACAAATGTATCACAAGACCTATGATATACCTGAAATATACATTTCTTATAGTTTCAGAGTTATCGATCTGTATATACACAGCGAGGATGAGGTTCCACTATGACAGTAAACCAGTTTACTTTCTCTAAACTGACATCTGTTCAGATTAACAGATGCCAATAGAATAACATAAACAGAAGAGAAATGTCATAAAATGTTCGAAAAACAAAACAGAACAACAGAGTTTATAAATAATTGTGGTAACTAATTTTTACAGATTTTCAACACCACTGTTAAGTTAGTCAGTTCTTCTAAATGGATCTCAAAAACATACGCTGCAAGTCATGGAAAACATATCTAATGGGCTACTACAGACTCTCAATGACAGCTAAATATTGTAGATTGGGTGGCTGGCCAGAAAAAATTAGAAACAAGAAACTCTTAGGAACGAAACGACCAAGAACCTATGGCTCAAGAAATATTCCTAAGAAAATGGAGATGCATCGGACACACTCTGAGGACACCTATCGGTAAAATTTCGAGCCAGGCCATTGCTAGAGTAGAACCCGAACCGGAAAAGATGAGTTGGTAAGGTGTGAGGGTGACATGGTGGAGAGTATGAATTCAATATCCCATGGTTAAACATTGATTGTATTTGGTGTAACATTTCCCCTAATACGGAAGCGAAATCATTGCTTGATAATGTTAGAAACACCTGGTTATCACGATCATTACTTTATCTCAATTTTCATCTTCTTGTTAATTACTCCTCTGAGGACTTCAATAACCTACTTCACACAAAGTTTGGTACATTCGGCTTTATTTTTTAGTGGTGTACATTTTGGTATAGACAACTCCCTAACAGTTACTGTTTGCAAACGGCTTGTTCAGTCACATGTGTGATCGCGAAATGACGTCAAAGACTACTAGACAGCTGCTTCGTCCTTTTTTGAGACACCTAAGAAGTATAAGCTGAAGACTCCACTAGGAATTAAATTCCAAGACTTCAGGTTACAAGATGAGCTCTTTGACAATGCGCTGCTTGCATGATCTATGGGCTTGCCTTTTGACCTCAAGGTTCTGAGTTCAGTCCCTGTTGGATTCATGAGTGCGTACTGCTGAAGAGTTCCAAAAACGGGAGAAACAACTGTCCAATACTCTTTGGTTTTGTACCTGAGGCAAGTTATAAATCGAACATTTGAGATGGTCAGAATTTGAATCCCGCTGCCTGCCTTTACGCAATAAATATGAAAGTTGTTCCAGTTAACTTAATTCTAACGAATTCATTCCATTTTTAAACTGTTATCGGTGCATTGTTTCAGGTGCCTTTCTGAAGTTCTCAGTGAAATTTAGCTTCATTAACAGTCTTCTCACACAGCGATTCAAAAATGGCTTCCATTGCGACCGCAGTAATACAGTAATACTTTGTAATGTTGAAATAAGCTAGGGTCTAGCCTAAAAACCGACGGGGACATTCTGTGGCTTCATGCTTACTTTTTCTTTCATAGAAACAAAACACATCAACTGACTGGCGTCAAGAAGGCTTTGTTCAGCCAGAACAGTTCATCTTCGAAGTGAGGAATCTTCCCGATTTTTGCAACTGGAAGTTTCAGTAGCAGTGAGATTGTTCATTAGCAGTCGACATGTTAGCCCCCTTTTCCTTTTAAAAGGCTTATGACCGCGTCGTTAACTAATCAAAGTTTTCATGTGCGACCACCGGAACTGTGTAAACTATTTTCAGACGCGTGCCATTTCCGAAATCCACTATTTAACACAAATAGATAGATGTTTCAGCGAATAAAAACATTTAAGTGTTGGTTTGCATGGATTTGATTGATTAGTCACAGGATTTCATCATGAGCTGACATCGGTTAGAGGAGACCATATGAAAACCTGTAGGAAGTATTGGACAGTTGTTTCGTCCTCGTGTGGGACTCTTCACAGTACGCATCCACTGAGGTTCGAACCGACGACCTTCTAGTTAGAAGGCGTGCTCTTAAACCATTCACAACTACTGGAACCTGATCCAATGGCCAGTGCATGAATTTTTTAACTTCTGCCAATTCACGATATGGCGCGAACACTAACTAATGTCATTGGTAGCCAGTGTGTGTCCGCACACACACCACCTACTGTACTCCACTGGTCACGACTTCTTTTTTCAGAATATCTACCTCGATTTCAAGAAGGCATACTTTGAAAGGAAAACTTGTGCAAAGACATAATTTTTATACTCGCAGCGCCCAAATTACCAGATATATGGCACAGTTACTGATGCAGAAGAGTAAGCGATGGTTTAGAAATAAATAGAAAGTCTTAGTACATGGTAGACATCCATATAATGCTTTCTAGTTACTTTGTTTAACTTACCATCATGTATTCTATTTCTACATTTTCAAGGTTTCACTTCATTGCTCTTATCTGAAGAATGTGATATATTCAATCCTGTACACTTACAAGTATGCCAAGATATGTCTCAACCAATAACACATTATTACATTGCATCATCGCATAAAACGTAAGTTTCTGTCAAAATAAAGTTTACCTGCATATCCTAGAATGCAGTTATTTTAATACTGTTAACATAATGCTAGAACGTGCAGTTGTTACAGTTTATTAGAGGCCAGTGTCAGTCAAGTCTTTAAAAATCTATCATAATCATAAGCTGTTATTACTTTCACTATTTCATTCCATGGAGTTCCGCATGAAATATATAGGGATTCATCCTCGAACTATGAAGTTTCAATAGTGATGGTGTCTTGCTTTCATCACCTGAGTTTCCTAGTCCCACACCCGAGCATACTACTGCCTGGGAGAAGTTTAATAGTGAATTAGCTGACAGTCAAACATGGACTTCTCACTTGGGCGGTGTTCAATTTACACCCCTAAACCACTGACGTTCACTGAACTGTCCATTACTATGTTTAATTCAAATTATTTTTCAATTCAACATATTTAAAATTATACTGGATTGGTAATATATTCAATGAATCAAGTTAAAAATAAATGAAATTGGGGATGAAACAATTCAGAAGAACAAAAAGTAGATGACCGAAAGTAGCCATTGAGTCATGAAGAAAATAAAAGACAAATTCAGCGAAGAAAATCTTCCTTATTGACGAAATCATCTTCAGAGGCTGTACAGTCGTATTTATATTTACCAAAATGTATTTTTTTCCTTCACGTTCCCCACTGGAACATAGGACTTCAAGCTAGTAGCTTGAAGTTTCTGTAGCAGTGTTTATTTTACAGGATGGGGTTGCTAGCCTCATGCCCAACCTTTCCTCTTCACCAGCGTTATTCCTGGCTTAGCGAGGTAAAGGAGTGCGTCGGTCGAGGATCGAACCCCAGACCATGTGCATGGTCGGCGAGCGTCCTAACCGCTATGCCACCGAAGCTCTCCAAAATGTACTGTGGTCTATTATTGAGTAATAGGGGTGACATAATTGATATAATTACTCGGAAGTGGCTTTAGAATTAAAAAAAGAAAAGCTGTGAAACACGTGGTACTCAACGGCAAAAAGATAGAAACTTGATATGGTTAAAATTGCTATTGAGTCAGAATAAAGGTAGCTGAGTGTCAATTTATCCACTGTGAACAGGGTGTGAGAATGTACAAAAGGAACATATGAGAGTGATAATAGTTAATTAATTAATAAAGCAAAAGTAAACTAAAAGTAAAATTAGAAATTTAAAAAAGAAAAGAAAAAAAATCAAATATTTTTACAGGGAACGACTAGTGAAGAGGTTAAGACCAAGGTAGAATAAGAGACTCCACAATATTTTTCTGTATACAGAGTTCAGCGTTGTATTGACGAATTGCCAGCGCCTCCGTCGTACACAAGAGCCGAAACCTCAAGCCCTTTGTACTGTTTGGCCTCACCTTCTAGATGCTCTTGAAAAACGACTCTGATGGAGCTACTTGTCCTGAGTTCTCGAAGCGCCCGAGAATTTAGCTAGTAATTGTCTTGCATTGTCCCTTTGCTAACCATGCCAGATAATGTCCAGAGATGCGTTTGGAACGTGTGCGCTTTGTGCGGCCAACATAACTAGCTCCATACGAGCAGGTGAATTTACAAACAGACATTGAGGTGACCCAAAGCAGCAGTTTATCCTTCACACATCCATTGATCATTTGTTGGCTGTAGAAACTCATACGTAGCTCAACCGTAAAGACGGCTTTCTCCAGTGATCAGTATAAGCGATTCTTCAGGATCTCAGCTGCGGTATAACCTCTAAATTCGACGCTCATAAATAGCAGTTTCTTCGGCGCCGTCTGGGTTCTTTTAGGTTTTTCCCTGTTTTTCTCAATAAATCTTGGAGGATATCCATTCTCTATGTGAACTTGTCTTAGTCGCCCCAGTTCCCCAGTAGATGAATTAATCAATAATGGCAACAGAAGATTCTCAGTTAATTTGAGACAAAGCAATTATTTCAAGTTTGACCAGGGACCGATGTCAGTCAGTGAATCATTGAAAACTACTTGGGAGTACTGAACAGCTGTTTCATCCTAGTTTGAGATTCATTGACAGTAAGCACCCACCGCTTGAGTTGGAAACCAGGACCTTCTAGCTATAAGGCAAACGCTTTGGCCATTCAACCACTGGGATCTGACTCAGTGCCACTAAAATCAGGAACTAGTAGAAGTTAGAGTTCATGGGCTGGCTATTTGAATGGTCTAAGAGCTTGACTTGTAACTTGAAGGTTGTGGGTTCGAACCCCGGCAGTGGGTGCGTACTGCCGATTAGTCTGAAACTTGGACGAAAAGGGTGTGCTTTTCAATGGTTCTTTAACTGACATCAACTTTTGAAAAACAACTATTATTATTATCATAACTTTCATTTCTAAACATTCGTTATCATGAATACTATTGAAGGCTTACATATTAGTATCAATGCATTCGATTCCCGTTAACCTCGACAAGTGTTTTCATTGTCCCTTGTCCAAAACTTCACTTGTACTTTGATTTACATTGTGGAAGTAACGTAAGGTAGACAAAACTGTTTGAGATTTTATCATTTCACCTCTCCTCAGTCACGTAGATTTTCCTCTAAAGCTGATGGTACTCTGTTCTTAATTTCATCCATTATATTACTAAGCATTCCTTTTTAATTTTTTTATGTCAGGGGAAGATCCAAATGTTTTGGCACCTATTGGTGAATATTATAGGGATTATCAGTAACCGTACTATCTCTGAGCTATTCAGTTTGATTTTGGAACTTTCATCACACTAGGCTTTTTGTAAGTCGTCCGTAAATCAGTGATAGAATGCTCACCAACCAACTACTCACATGGTCCTGGTCCGACTCCCCTCTGAGGCACTTCTAAACCTCATTTAGTTTACTAGTTGTTGGTAAGCATGAAAAAGGGTGAAAGTTGAGTGTGAAGCCTTCTTCTCCATTGAGAATCACCAGCACTACTGCCCTTGAAATTTTACAGCCCAAAACTGAAATACATCACTAAAAATTTTATCATGAAATCATTTGAATAACATTACGCCCTGAATAGTGAAGCCAGCAAAATTAGATGCATTGGTTGAGAGTTTACTGAACAGTTTCTTTACCATATTCTGAACTACACTTGAAACAATTTGTGTGTATCATGCCTTAAACATTCAGGTTTTGATCATTCAAATTGAAGCAAGATTCCTGTTGTCATCCTGAGTTATCATATCTTTAAAAGCTGACTAAGAAGTAAAATCCACTGGAACAATATAACCTCGAATCCCCTCAACTTAAATTATACACAATGGTGCATGTGTAGGTATATAAAGTCAAGGGTGTTGAACACGAAGCAAGAGAGGTTTCGAAAGATTTAAAGGGTAATGTTTGAAGGATTCATCGCCAGCCGACATCGGTTAGAGAACCATTGGATAACAACTACCAGGGAGTACTGGACTGCTATTTCGTCCCAATAGTTTGAGACTCTTCAGAAGTGCGTAACCACTACCAGTGTTCGAATCTAGGACCTTCCCGTCAGGAAGCAAGCTCGTAAACAATTAAGCCACTGATTAAAGTTTGACTTGGAGTAAAATTATGTGAAAGCTAAAGTAAGTTTTAAAAACTTATACCGAATTCAACCATAATCTGGAAGCCTAGTTTCAAGAAGGTGGTAGGAGTTTTTATTTTTCTTTCATATGTGTTTTATTTCATATTATTGTTTGTTTTGCTTGTTTTTTTCTCTTTTGCTTTAGATTTCTACTCGAAGATCAACTTACAGGTCCTTGCAGTATTGAAGGTTATCAAAGAGCACTTCTTTCAGGTTGTAGATATATTGAACGTAAGTGGGCTTCGTTTTATCCCTCTTCACTATTTTGCTTATCTTTTTAACCTCAAACATTGAGCCTAATTAATCAATACTTTTGCCTGAATTAAACGGTGGTTTCAGAAGACTTAGACATTCATTTACGCATAGTTTTGATAATAGATGGTTGAAGACAGTTGGTAGGAAACCTTGTTACAGCTAGGTTTCGTGCTAGTTGGCATCCACCAGTCAGGGCAAGGTATATCTGCAATTCTGAAGGAACTCTTGTCTCTCCTGCTGCTCGTGTGGAGCTAGTTACATCGACGTACGATCAGGCAAGTTCATCGTTGAATTTCTGAACACATCACTTCTTTGCTTGGCGAAGGCTAGAATAAAGTTATATCTATCTCAAAACTACTCCATCTCATCGATACTGGATATCAAGTTGACTCTAACAAAGCTTTTTAAGTTATTTATCATATTTCACCGAACATCTTGCCTGGTTCACGAGTAGAACTCTTACATACAGCAGAGGCAATTTGAATTCATCTGAACATGCCAAATCTGCGTGTCCAATAGAAGTTTTCATAGTTTCTTTCTTTGTCATGGCCAACTACATAACATGTATTAGTTGTTTGAAAACGATTTCTCCCCTCTCCTTGTAACTGGTTTTTAACTTTGTTATTTTTATAATTCTAGCTATTTCTATTAACTTGTTTGTATTTTACTCAACTCTTCTGAGTCATCCTATTCTTCTTAAGCATCACTGCTATTTTACAATTTTCTTGATTAAGAAATAACCTGTTTCTAACGCCTAAGAATCAGATTATCTTGAATTCCTTAATTAATTTTCATCATTTATTCAAAACTTAGATATCTTGTTACTAAAATGGATTAGTTAATTTATTTGATGACCTTTAACCTTTTATATTCACTCACCCACTGTATACCTAAATCTGAGTAACTAAAATAACCACTTCACTGGTAAAATTTATCATGTAAAAATTTGTTGTAGAGTCTCAAACTAGGATGAAACGTCTGTCCAGTACTCCTTGGTTTTCCAATGGTCCTCTAACCGATTTCATTTCATGATGAAATCCTGAAACCAATCAAATCTCTGGAAACCATCACTTGAAAAAACTGTATAATAGTGTTGAGCCTATGATGAGGAACTATTTGTCATTATGCACCAAGTCTAAGGAAGAGTTACCGAAAACCGGTAAGAGAAAGATTGATACATATACATAGGAGCAGTAGTGCTATAACCAGTTAGCTTGCTTTTCACTGGCTAAGTATGAAATGGTGGCTTTACGAACCATTTCCTGAATATGAAGTTTAGATTTATTAGTTCTAATGTATCAGTGGCCTTAATTTTTTGCCGTTGGTGACAACCAGGACTATTGCAGAGAATTGACGGAATGAGATGAATGACATTCGAATGATTTCGTTTTCAAGCTCTGCTTTGTAGGGTTTTAATTGGTTGTTTACAAGGCTCCAATATAGGTCGACATCTGTTAGAGGACCATTAGAAAACCTGAAAGTACTGGATAGCTGTCTCGTCCTAGTTTGGGACTCGTCATCAGCATGCGCCCACCGCAGTTCGAACCCCGGACCTTCTGGTTACAGGGCCAAGTCGTAGACTATTAAGCCACTGGGATTCGATCTAATGGCCAGTGCATGAATTCTAACTTCTGCCAATTCCCGATATTTAGAAATCAAAGGATATATATGTGTATTAGAGTAAAGCCTGTGATGAGGATCTAATTGAAAGGTAAATATTTCTTCACTGAATCCTTTTGCTTTCTAAATGTCTAACTGAATGCGGATTTTTCTATACCGAATTCGCGATGTGGCGCGACCACTAGCTAATGTCACCGGTGGTGAGTATTTGTGCTCACTCCCGACCTGTTGTACCCTACTGGTCACGGCTTCCCATTATATTTCGTTCCGTCTGTCAAATGACCACCATCAATCGAATGAAACAGGATACGCATCCAGATGTGTTTTGCCCATCCTTCTACCCCTGATTGTTTGAAATTTAATCTTTATTTGCGTAAATTTTCACATATTAGAGTAATTGAAATTGATATTAGTACATCGTCTTACGCCACTTACTATACTGCAGCAATTTGTTGCATACTATACAAGTGCATAAAACAATTAGTTCGGGATGGTTAACAGCGAAATTCTCAGGATGCGCATTTCATCCTGTCCAGCACTTGCCGGCTGGATATGCCTGTATATCCGGTGAATGGTAGTGTTCTCCCTGAGAATCGGGTCCAAAAACCACTGGAAGGAGCATTCATCGTGAATTCTGCTACTAGCTTGCAGCAAACAATTGACACATTTTAACCTCGAAGCATTACCAAATTATCCACGCCACTAACCAACATGTCAGCAAAGAACCAACTTGTTGTCTCAGAAGGAATCGGTCAACAGGAATTTCGAAGTATCTTCAGTGAATAATGGAACTTTTATCTTAGATGCTTCATCCATCAGCCTTCCTTAGTAAATTCCTGGGGAAAAGTGACTTGATACAGAATAACGTGATAGATTATGGAATCATGCTAAAAATAACCCAAAAGATAACCTAACGCTTGCATAAGAATAAAGCGTTTAACATATTTAATGTCGCTTATTCAACTTCTAATTGAGAATGTATTTACGTGATTTGAAATCCTTACCATTACTTTTATTATTAACAAACAATAATGCATTCTACTTTACTCTTCTTTTTTCTAATCAAGTTGAAGTCTACGATGGTCATGATGGTCATCCAGTTGTCAGACGTGTAAATTCACGACCTCCTGGCATTCCAATACAAGCTGTATTAAATACAATACATGATTTTGCATTTATTCGTTCAGAGTGAGTAATAACTGCCTTGCCTTCTTTCAACCTTTACCTCTATGATAAAAGTGATGCTTAGAAATGTAATGCGTAATATGGAAAAACTGTCGGGTAGAGAAAAAGTGTTTTTGTTTTATTCCTTCGCATTCCTAGTGGAAAATAGAGCTAGCTAGCCAGATGACCGATGGCCGTTTCGCTCGTTCGAGGCGGAGTTTATCATTATTATATTTATTTATTGTTCCCTTGGGTTCCTAGTGCAACATAGGGCTTCAACTGCACGTCTCCACTTGTTTATGTCTTCTGTTTTACCTTTCACCTGCATCCATGTTAGTCCACACTGTTTCAGCTCCTCTTCACACGATCTCCTCCATGTCAACCTTGGACGTCTCACTCACCGCTTCACTTTCGGGTTCCACTCGATCTATGGCCTGACGTGCGATGTCACCCAACGGCCTCCTCAGCGAGTGTCCAATCCATCTCCACTTTCTCCTGCATATTTGTTGAGCGATTGGTTCTTGTTCTGCTTGTTCCCATAGTTTCTTGTTGGTGATTCTTTCCGGCCATCTGATCTTCAATATAGAACGGAGACAGCTGTTGACAAAGGTCTGCAACAGGCTGTTGGAAATATTCTTGGTTACCCGCCAAGTTTCTGATCCGTATAGCAAAACTGACTTGACGTTTGTAATGAAAATCCGAATTTTGTTGTTGATGCTGAGTGACGAAGATTTCCAGATTGGTTTCAGGGTGATGAATGTGTTTCTCGCCTTCCCGATTCTTGATTTGACATCCTCGTTCGTTCCTCCTGTAGTTGAGACAATGCTCCCTGGATAAGTGAATGAAGTAACCTCTTTCAAATCCCTCCCGTTGATTGTGATTGGCGCTTGATGTTGCTGTTATTGTTGTTGTTGGTTGGTTTGTTATTTTCATAACCTCCGTTTTGTCTATGTTCACCTGGAGTCCTGTATTTGCTGCTTCTTCGACCAATTTGTCGGTTTTCGCTTTTAAGTCTTCGATTTTTTGTGACATCAAGCATAAATCATCCACGAAATCCAGGTCTTTTAGGTTCTTCACGTCACCTACACCCGTTGTGACTCAGCTTGGAGAATCGAATCAGTTCAAATCACACCCGATTTCTGATATAACAAGGTATGCGTCTAGTCATCTCAATTGATTAGTAGTATATTTAATTTTATGCTAATTAACTTCCCTACGTGATTCTTAATATTAGCCATAAAAAGGTATACAGAAAGACAGATGACATGCACCGATAGCTTATTTCCTTGAATACATTTTACCACACTATTATTATAAGCCACCAGTGTATTTACTATTATTCCACCCTATTATGTTTCTATGTGTACTTATAGATATCCAGTGATAGTATCAATTGAATGCTACGCATCACAAGCTCAACAAAGTGTACTCGTCACTTTCCTTCGTTGTTGCCTTGGCCACCGGTTACTCCTACCAAACTCAGAGTTCACTTTCAACTTGAGTGAATCACAATTAGAAATTGAAGATCAAGTTGAAAAGGCAAGATATCACAACTCCACGGCCGGTGGGAGTGGTGTTCACAAAGCCTATCGTAAGAATAGTCTACAAGTTGTCGATTTGAAGAATGAATCAACAGTTTATGCATCAGACGGTTCATATGTACGCTGGCCATCACCACGTGATCTTATAGGACGTATTCTATTGAAAGGGAAACGACTACCGAAAGGTACAACGACAACAACAACAACAGCGGCTACGATGAACAATGAACCAGAAAAATGGATGAATGGTGGTGTAGCTAATATTAAACGGATCTTTACTTCATCATATGTTGTAAGTGAAAAGTTTGTATTTTTTCTTTGAAATTATCTTTACTTACTGGATGGTTGGAGGCAATCAGCAGGAAGACTTACTTGGCCTAGGTTTCGTGTCTGTTTTCACTCACCAGTCAGATTCAGATTCAGATTATAAGCATAGAAGGCTCTTGTTGCCTATGCTAATCTTCGCGATATATATCTCTGCAGAGATCCAGTTTCTCTTTGAAAGCGTTCACCGATGGAGCTGTTACCACTGAATCAGATAAGGAGTTCCAGTCGTTGACCACTCTGTGAGAGAATCTAAACTCCAGACGTATTTTATTCGACCTTGGTTTGAGCACCTTCTTCTGGTGACCCCGTAAATGTATCCTAGAGGGAGAGAAAAGGTTTGAAAGGTCACCCTTGAATATACGGTAAGCCAAAATTAAGTCGCCTTTCCTCCTTCGGCATGGTAATGGGAAGAGATTTAAATGCTCCATCCTCTTATCGTAAGGAAGATGTGAGATACCACTAACTAATTTTGTTCCTACCCTCTGTAATCTTTCCAGGGTACGTGCCTCCTTTTTGAAGCATGGACTCGCCGCTTGTATGCAGTACTCTAGATGAGGCCTGACATATGTTGCATAGAGTACTTGGAACATACCCTCGTCTAATCGTTTGAAAGATCTTCGAAGTGCCCATAGCATTCGAAAAGCCTTAGCTGCGGCTCGATAACAGTTTGCCGTTGTTTTTAAGTCATGGCTAACAATAATTCCTAAGTCCTTTTGTTCCCTAACATCTGGCAGTTCTGTGTCCCCCATGGAGTACGACGTGTAAGACTTCTGACCTAGGTGCAGTACCGCGCTTTTCATCAAGGCGTATCTCCAGACACCTAAAAATAACAACAATTTTAAGTGACTTGCTACAGGATGGAGTTTCCTGGAGTTCTAGTGAGGAATCGTGACCAGTGAGGTCCATCTAGACGTCAAGTGTGAGAATGGATGTCAGAATCGATGACATTAGTTGAGGTCGCGGTAAATGACTAACTGGTAGAAGTTAGAATTCATGGACTGGCCATTGAATCGGGTCCCAGTGGCTGAATGGTCTACGAGATAGCTTACCTTGTAACCGGAAGGTCCTGGGTTCAAACCCTAGCGGTGGGCTAGTACTGCGGATGATTCCCAAACTAGGATGAAACAGCTGTCTAGCAGTACTCCCTGGTTTTCAGTGGTTCTCTAACTGATATCAATCCGTGATCAACTCGTAAAAAATTCTATGTGCATTGTGATAATGGGCCACCTAGCATGGTGCCGACATTGCAAACTTGACTGATTAAACTCTTTCAACACGAATTAAAGGCCTGGACACATGATACTAGTTACTCACTAGTGTCCAATCAAAGTATCTTTCATTGTGTAATTTGTTGATTCATCGAGTGATTTAGTCAGTATAAATGTCTTTCTTTTTCAGCGCGAACTGACTGATTTCAGTTAGAGAACCATTGATAACCATGGCAGGACTCTTCGGTGGTATACAGATGTGGCTTCAAGATGGATTGAATCCAAGACATTCAGGTTACGAAGCGAGCTCGTTGATCAGTCATTCACTAGGACTAAATCCAATAGCCAGTTAATTCTAATTTCTTCTTCTAATTCGCAATTTTTACCGCCACAGCTAATCATTGTATAAATGAGATAAAATATAAGAGCAAACGACTGCATAGAGTGATTATAAGACTATTTTCTTTTTGAAATAAAACCAAATCCTAATTAGTCTAACTGATCTTTTGACGATTTTACTGAAAGACTTCTAGTTGACAAGTGTTGGTTTGATTAATCACATATTCGATCACGATTTGACTTAAGTTAGAAAACCACTAGTAAATCTGAGAGTATTGGCGAGATGTTTCGTCAGACTAGTTTGGGACTCTTCAGCAAGACACACACCCGCCTCCAGAGTTCGAACCCAGGGGCTTCAGGTTACAAGGCAAGCTAGCTCGTAGACTATTGAGCCATTGGGACCCGATCCAATTGCCAGCCCATGAAGTCTAACTTCTGCCGATTCACGACATAGCGCGGCCATTTCGCAATGTCTCCTTCGATGAGTTACTGCCTCATCTTCAACCTGCTGTACCCTACTGATCATGACTTTCCACTAGAACACCAGGCTAACTTCCTGAATAGGGCGAGTCGCTAGTGAGCATCAAATGAATTTTCAAGTATTGGTTTTTTTAGGGATTTTGTTTGATTGGATGGAGGATTTCATCATGGACCATTGGATTGGGTCCCAGTGCCTCAATGATCCTGGATTCTAACCCTAGAGGTGAGTGCGTACTGATGAAGAGTGCGAAACAAGGACGAAACAGTTGTCCAGTCCTCCCAGCTGCTTTTCCAATGGTTCTCTAACTGATGTTAGCTCATGATGAAATCCTCCGTCGAATTTGGCATTTGTAAAATACTCATTTAATCAGTTTATTACCACTCTGTCTAAGTGGTAAGTCAGAATTTGCGTGCTATATTCTTCTTTGTCCCTCTCTCAGTTGAGCGAAATCAGGTATACCGCTGGTTTGCTTGGACAGAAAATGTCCGGAACATCTGTCTGGTGTTTAGATACCTTCATCTGGCTGGCAAGCCAACAATTCAAGTTTATATGAGCGCTACACAACTACTCATCTCATGCCATGCAAAAAAACTCTGTGTTCCACTGTTATAATAAATACTTCTTAAGCATTTTCATTAATAACTCATTAAAAATGCCCATTAAAATTTTAAAAGAATGAACACTGAACAAAGAGTACTCTTTTCGATAAATTTATCATCAGGTTCTACAGTTATATATACATTATAATGAATGAATGATTTAGTCTTATGAACAACATTAATGTTTAAATAACATCAAATCAATAATATTGATAAATTACAGCTGAACAGCATCAACATAAAATAAACTGAATGTCAGGAGAATCAGGAAAGGTAATAGTACAAATTCATGGGGTTATAGTCTCTACTGAGGGTCAGGGTAGTAGTAGGGGCACTGGTTGTTTGAGGCGAATCGCAATAGCTTCTGATGTTTGGAGCATGCGGTGCTTTGACGATTTTGGTAATTTGTTAGGCACCCGGTATATTAAAGAGAAGGATCCTTCTACGCTGGCTTTGTGACCGGTTTGCACCAGATGGTCTAATATCGAGCTGTTAATGGTTTTAACTACACCTTTACTTAGCCATAGTGGGACATGTTCTCGAGTACGAAAAATCAAGTTCCTAGAGCAACGACCAATATAACTCGCTCCACAAATGCAATTGAATTGATAGATACAATTTGAAGTGGCTAGTCTAGGTACTTCATCTTTCAGTCGAGGTAGCACCATCAGTCATGTAGAGAATAATAAGTGTAGTTCGCCACCATTAAAAGTTCTTTGAACTGACTTTCTTAATTTCTTCGTTGTCACAAACGATTGCTAAGGAAGAGTTACGTAACAACATGAATATTTTGATGAAAGCGTTTTGCTCAGGGTGTACATGGAAACAAAATAACATATTGAATTACGCAATAGTTTTAAGCAGTTAGAAAAATAAGCATACAGGGAAAAGTTAAGTCATACCAACAGAGTTGTTATCATGATAGTAGAAGTGGTTGAATAATTTTCTTTTGTATGCATAGTTCTGGTTCTTCTAACTGAGTGGCTAGGGCTTCTACAATGCAAAGAAGACGGAAACGTATTTTATTTGGCTGGCAGGTTGTTCTTCACTTTGTAGATCACTTTGAAGCAGAAGGTGTTTGTTGAGATGGAATAAACAGTGTTGACGAGATGTTCGATTATTGCACTCCTTATACGGCCACTACCTCCTTTCTGCAGCCACGCTGGATAATTTTTTTGACCCTTTTTGACAGGATGCGCGTCGAACTACCAATGAACCTGGCTCCACAGCAACAGGTGAACTGATATATACACATAGAAGTGGTCATCTGTGGGATCTTGTTCTTTGGGCTTCTGCAGATCAGCGGGTGACTGGAGAACCCTACTCTCATTGTTCCCGCGAAGAAGTTCTTCTTAAGGAAGAGTCGAGGTTCATATAAAGTATCTTTTTTGGCACGGATGGCGTCTCTCGCTTTCGGAGTTTCTGTTTGATGTTTTTGTCTATGAATCTCGGTGGATAACCGTTTTGTACGAAGATTTCTTTCAGAAAGTATAGTTCTTCTTCCAGGGTATCAGAGCTGCAGATGCATCGGACGCGAGTAGCAAGAGATCTTATTACGTTTCTTTTCCGATTGATTGGTACCTAGCTATAGATGCTTGTCACTTGGCCGTTCCATGTGGCTTTTCTATGGATGGACCTTCTTAAAGTTCCGTCAGGTCTCCTTGTAAGTTCACCCTCAAGAAAAGGAACCTCTGATCCGTTTTCTTTTTCAAGAGTGAACTTTGTAAGTGAATGACAGTTTTTGAATATTTGTAGTAACTGATTAATATCGAGACCATCATCACAGATAATAAAGATGTCGTCCACATATCTAGCATACAATTGTTTCCATGTCCAGTCTGAGCACAACGCATTCATTAAAGTATTCATGGTATTGTCTAACTCTTCTTTAACAATAGTTTGTGACAACTCATCACTTTTGTTACTACCCTCTTATGTAAACATCCAATTCATCTGAACTTACTTATTGTATATTCAGCTGTAATCTATCAATATTATTGATTCGATGTTATTTAAACAGCAACATTAATGTCGTTCATAAGATTAATTCATTCATTCACTATAATGTATATATAATTGTAGAGCCTGATGATGAAGGGGTTACCGAAAAGAGTACTCATTGTTCCGTGTCTATTCTTTTGAAAATCTTCATTGTTATTGTTTTCTTCAGATGACAAATATTTGTTATACTTGGTTTTTTTTGTTTTCTTTCTTTTCTCTTCTCCTGGCACAGACACCATGTCAACAACCAACTACAGTTATCAGGGAATTATCTGATATGTTTTTCTTCGATACAACTAATTATGAGTACATTCCCAATAGTGATTCACTTAAATGTAAGTGATTTAACCTCATTCCATTTTCCTCATACAAGTCATATATAATTTCATAAACATGCCATATATATATTATTGAATTTACTGTGGGAATTAAATGGTTGCAAAGACAATATGCCGAGATTTACTGTCCATTTTTTTATTTTGCGATGAACTGGAAATACTCTGAGGAGATCTTTAAACTGCTTGGCACTCAAAACCCTTCCAAGTGAGACCTGAATGAAAGGTGACAGGCTAGATATCCGAAGATTACGTAGAGAAGATCTCGTGGAGAGGAGGTGAAAGCTTGTTGGCAGTTTTGAAGCCAGCTAAGAAACACCGCTGAGATCCGAGTGCGATAAGGATGTGCTACTGAGGCCCAATATTCCCCTTGGAAATCAAGCGATCAATAATGAAAACAACATTAATATTGACTTCTATGAGAACTTCAAACTATTCTCCAGGGAATTCAGATCGGTCGGATATTTTCTCTTATACGTGTATTCATTGGAAATTGTTGATTTAGGCTTAATATATCTAATTAAATATGATGCAGAAGATTTGTAGCTCAGCTGGATGGTTTTGATGTGATTGTGTTCTCTGAGCCACCTGAATGGTTTATCTGCGAAGCTTTCATTGCCGTCTACTAGGCAACATCTTCAACGCATACTTCAGTTTGTTGAAGTGAGCTTTTAGATTTCTCCACGAGTTTATAAGTCATCTCTCCTGGTCGGTGACCTTCAACGTGATTGGTCGTTTTTGTGTGTCTTCACACCTAGGTAGGTTTTCACACCTTCACACACAACCAATCATGTGCAAGGTCACCCATCAGGAGAGATTACTGATGAACTTGTGGAGAAATCTAAATGCTCACTTTAATTCAAACTGAAGTATGCACTGAAGATGTCGCCCAGGAGGGCAATGAAAGCTTCTCAAATAAACTATCCAGGTAGCTCAGAGAACACAAACAAATCAAAATATCTAATTAAATATCATACCAAATTCGATTAAAGCACCTACATTTAGATTATGTAGATAATATTTCTGCCGAATCAAAGAAGAACTTCACTTAAAGTGATAACATAAAAGAACTATATCGTAAGATTTCGCAAATAGTTCAAATAATATATATGTAGAAATGATCCTCTGCATTGGTTTTGTGGCAGTCAAGCAGTTTGAACAGAATTTTACGAACTTCAGTTTCACGTATTCTCTGCTTCCCCGTGAAACAAGGATAAACAGAAAGAGTATGCATTAACTGGTGGAAGTTGACTAGCGTTGGAGTCCACGATGCGCACTTTGTCAATAATCACCAGTGAGTAATGATTTCAACCCCTTATGTTAGAACCTAGTACCCACCCCTTTAATCTCCACAGCGTTATCCATTAGACTGCTTGGGCTACCACAAAGAGCCACCTCTTATGCAACAGATATCAGTTATTATTGCTTTTCTGCCACTTAAACTGACTTTGGAGTTTAAAAAGTATGACTCCCAGTGGAAATATCGTCAGTCAGTGGGGATAGCTGATGAATTCTGCATAGGACGGAATGCACGGCCTCAATTTCACTGCTAGTCACCATCCACAAAATAGCATTACTTTAATCCTTAAACATCGTGTGTCTGTTGAAATGTTGGCTGGTATTGTATGAATGCTACGACGATACCTGAAAGTCGGCTACCAGTACCATCTAAAAGAAATGTTTTGTCCCATTTGAGACTCGTCATCTGGATGTATCTTCATGACTAGTGAGTAATGACACTGTTGGAAATCACTTCGATTAATCGATTTGTAGCTCAAAAGCTGGAATTTAATTCATCGCTAAAGTTGAATCTCAACAGTTGAGTAAATGAAGTTATATCGAATAAATTCATCCACATATTTTTTATTTCTTCGCGTTCACAGTGAAACATAGAGCTTCAAACTAGAGGCTTGAAGTTCCTATAGCACTGGTGCTTATTTTTACAGGATGGGGTTGCTAGCCTCACGCCCCCCTCAACCTTCCCTCTTTACCAGCCTTATTACTGGCTTAGCGAGGTGAACGAGTGTGTC